GGGGGGGGGTGAGGAAAGGAGGGGCCGGAGGATGCTGGGACTTGTAGTTTTCCCTAGATGGTGAAACTGTAAATGGGGACTGCAGCCAGGAAACCAGAAGAATGGGGAGGGGTGGCTGTGAAAGAACTAGGAAAAGGATTCTAAGATTATGACACCATAATCCTGGCAGAGATGCTCCCAGACCTGACACACCTGCTAAGGGAGATCCGAGAGGAAAGGGCAAAGGCAGGCTTCAAGCTGAACATAAAGAAAACACAAATAATGACTACTGAGGACCTTTGCAAGTTCAACCTAGACAAAGAAGAAAGAGACATAGTAAAAGAATTCCCATACCTGGGATCAAATATTGATAGAAATGGGGATTGCAGTTAGGAAATCAGAAGAAGACTAAGAATGGGCAGGGTGGCTATGAAAGAACTAGAAAAGATGCTAAAATGTAAAGATATACAACTCAACACAAAAGTCGGAATCATACAAGCCATCATATTTGCTATTATCATGTCTGGATGTGAGAGCTAAACAGTTAAGAAAGAAGATAGGGGAAAAAAAACACCAATGCATTTGAGATAATGTGGTGCTGGAGAAGAGTGCTGAGGATCCCATGGACAGCCAAAAGGACAAACAAGTGGGTCCTAGAGCAGATCAAACCGGAAACCTCCCTGGAAGCCAAGATGACCAAACTGAGGCAGTTGTACTTCGGACACATCATGGGAAGGAAGGACTCTTTGGAAAAGACAATAACGTTGGGAAAGGTGGAGAGAAGCAGGAAGAAAGGAAGGCCACATGCCAGATGGATGGACTCTATTAAGGAGGTCATGGGTATGAAGGGGTTGAAGGATTTAAGCAGAGAAGTGAAGGACAGGGGAGCCTGGAGATATCTCATCCATAGGGTCGCCACAAGTCGAGATCAACTTGTTGGCAGTTAACAACAACAACAATGGTGATAGATATTTTGACATGGAGAAATAAAAGGATAATGAAATAATGATATAGAGAAATGAAGAGGAATTGAAACAGAAAGTTCTAATCCAAATGAAATGCAAACTGGGGAACAGATGGGGCTATAGCCAGGGCAACTGGTAACTTTATGACCCTGTTTACATCCTAGGACAAAACGTTGATGACCAAATGGCTAAAACCTTCCTTCGTGGGTTAGATAGATGAGTGATGGGGAAAAGTGGAGAGTTTAAAGAGTCTTTTGATGTGCTCCAAAGCACAGGAAGGAGGGGTGGGGTGGGGGAAAATCCTTGAATCGTTTCAGGAAACACATAGATCTGATACTACCTAGTCTGTGGAGCATCCCTGTCTAAAGAATCCAGAATAAAGCTGTAGTATTTCTATCAGTATCACGCGTCCTGGTTGTTGGAAGTTTGGATCTGCTGAACATGAC